TAACCTTCCAGTTTTGCAGCTTGGCATCGGGCCCCATATATTGCACCTCAGCAGTGCTCGAGCCTTCTCCCGGCTAGACCATGCGAGTCTCATACAACATTTGCCTCATGGCTCCATATTTGTCTTCAATTTCCTCGGGCGTGAAGGCCTCATCTTCTTCCTCTATGTATCTTGGCTTGGTGAATGTTTTGGAGAGATGTGGGACCGGCTGAGGCAACACCCAACCATTGCTCTTTTGTTCATTTGCCCACGTTACATCAGCTTCTGTAGCTTGGAAACCCACACCGAAGAATTTCTCACTGGCAGCTAAAGTGATAAGTTCCGTGATACCTTGCAAAGACACCCCGAGCCCCTTCCCAGGCTTATAACTGTGCTTGATCATTTCTGTGGCGACCATGATTGATGCATTTGATAGAAAGGGTTGAGGACACGGGATTCCTTCCTCACACTGATCGGCGACCACAATCTCAAAAGCTTGATAGACTGTGTGCTAGCTACCTTCCTTAGCCTCGAGACATGGGACTGAGGGTTCCCGGTAAATTGATTGCTCATCTTCTCCATGTACCACAATTTCCTGATCTTCATGTTCAAACTTCACCATTTGGTCGAGAGTAGAAGGTACGACCCCTGCAACATGGATCTAAGGCATCCCTAGGAGAAAATTGTAGGAGGTGTCCATGTCTAAGGCCTGAAATGTCACTTCGAAATCCACAGGACCGATAGTCAAGATCAAATCAATCTCCCTATTGTGTCTCTCTTGATGCCATCAAAAGCACGTACATAAACATTGTTAGGCCTGATTCTCTCAGTCCCAATTTTCATTCTTTGCAAAGTTGAGAGAGGGCAGATGTCAACCCCAGATCCCCCATCCAGTATGACTCATTTCACATAGTACCCTTCACATTTAACTGTCAAATGAAGAGCTTTGTTGTGGGAAGCTCCTTCCGGGGGTTGAGTCATTTTTGCCAAATGAAATTCGGTGGACTTCAAAGAACCGTTCCGCCATGTTTTCCAGTTGGTCAACAGTGGTTTCAATCGGAACATATACTTCATTGAGGGTCTTTATCAATATGTTCTGATGCTCATTCGAGCTTATCAATAGAGACAAAAGGGAGACCTGAGAGGGAGACTTCCTCAACAGGTTTCCTCAATAAGATCCTCCAGTGTTCTCGGGTACTAATCAAGAAGCGAACATCCAATACTTTATTAATGAAATGCACAAGACTCTCCAGGTTATGCGTGCTACTGAGATGGAGGCAGTGGAGTTGGCTTCCTACTACCTGAAGGAGGTGACATATTTTTGTTTAGAGATGTGGGAAGAGTCCCGTGAGGAGGGGAGCCCTTCGGCAAGGTAGAGTGAGTTTGTCGACACCTTCGTTGATAGTTTCTTACCTGTTAAGACTAAGGCAACCCATGCCATTGAGTTTGAGAGCCTGATACAACATAGCCTGAGTGTTAGGGAGTATCATATGGGGTTCGTGCGCCAGTCCAAGTATGATATTTACAAGCTGCCCACGATGGAGTCTAGAGTGCGCCGGTTTGTGTAGGGCCTCAGCCCCTTGGTTATTAATAAAGCCTCTATAGCTTCCTTGAATTATAATATGAACTATAGGAAGATGGTGGTGTTTACTCAAGCCACAAAGATCCACAAATTGAATAATAGAATGGAGCGAGAGGGAAGCAATAAGAACCGGTCTACAAGAAATTTTTGTAGTTCTTCCGGTGGCGGTAGTGGCTGCAGGTCAGCAATCAGGGGATGATCACCAGGGCCATCCCAATCCTTATATTAGTCTTTGGTTAGTGCACAGCCGTCAGGGCCCAGTCAATAGCAGTGGATCCATTTCAGGCATGGTCAGGGCAATAGGGTATCCTACCTGTAGGGTCGGCATGGAGGAAGATCCAAACAGCAGCGGAGGCCCTCGTTCCCTAGGTGTGGAAGTTGAATTTTGGGGCCTACTTAATCGATCAAACCATATGCTACAGGTTCATTATGAGGGGTCACATCCAGAGGGATTATTGTTTATCCCGCTAGAGTATTGGCAGGGGAATGACACATCGAGCCAGTTCTGCAGCTACTTCATCTGCTGCACCTCCTCCAACTCGAGACACTCTAGCACCCGCAGGGCGTGTTGCAGCTAGGGGTGGTGCACAGAGTTCAGGAGGACCCAACCGTTTCTATGCTATGAGGGGTCGCCAGAGTTCAGAGGCTTCTCCAGATGTTGTCACATGTATATTGACTATCAAATCTCATGATGCATATGCCCTTATTGATCTCGGTTCCACTTTGTCATATGTCACTCCTTATGTTGCTATAGAGCTTGGGATAGAACCAGAACCGCTCCATGAGCCGTTCTCTGTATCTACTCTGGTTGGTGAGTCTATTGTGGCCGCGTAGGTTTATAGGGATTGTGTTGTCATGGTGTGTGCTCGGGACACTATGGCTGATCTCATTTAATTGGGGATGGTTGCTTTTGATGTAATAATGGGGATGGACTGGCTTCATTCATGTTTTGCTAAGCTTGATTGCCGAACAAGAATCATTATGTTTGAATTTCCAAATGTGCCAGATATTTAATGGAAGGGGGATGATGTGATGTTGAGAGGTAGGTTTAATTCTTACCATATGGACTCGAAGATGATCAAGATGTGTTGTATTTACCATTTGGTCTTGGTTACAGACACCGATGCTCAGGCACCTACACTTGAGTCCATGCTATATATGAATGATTTTACGGAGGTCTTTCACGATGAGCTCCCTGGGATCCCACTAGACAGGGAGATTGATTTTGGAATTGATATGATGCCAGGCATGCAGCCTAAATATATTCCACCCTACAAAATGGCGCCTATAGAATTGAAGGAACTAAAGGAGTAGTTGAAGGACTTGTTAAAGAATTGTTTTATCTTCCGAGCGTGCCACATTGCGGCGCACCAAATATTTTTGTAAGGAAGAAGGATGGGTCACTGAGAATGTGTATTGACAATCGGCTGCTCAACAAGGTCATGATCAAGAATAAATACCCACTACCAAGGATAGATGACTTGTTTGATCAATTGCAGGTGCTAAATTCTTCTCAAAAATTGATTTAAGATACGGGTATAACCAATTGATGATCAAGGAGCAAGATATTTTGGAAACAACTTTTAGGACGTAGTATGGGCACTTTGAGTTTCTGGTGATGTCTTTTGGGCTAAGAAATGCCCCGATAACTTTTATGGATCTCATGAATTGAGTCTTCAAGCCTGTCCTCGACTTCTGTGTGACAGTGTTCATTGATGATATTTTTGTATATTCAGGAAGTAGAGCGGACCATGTCGCTCATCTCAGGGTAGTTCTGCAGACAATATTTCAGCACGAGTTGTATGCGAAGTTTTCGAAGTGTGAATTTGGGCTTGAATTTGTTTCATTCTTGGGTCATGTCGTCTCCAGGGAAGGAATTAAGGTGGATCTTCAGAAGATCGCGGTTGTGAAGAATTGGCCTAGACATACAACTCCAACAGAGATTCGCAGTATCTCGGGCTTATCTCGGTATTACAGGAAGTTCGTGGAGAGGTTCTCTACTGCTTCCTCTCCATTGACTAAATTAATGTAGAAGGCGGTTAAGTTCCAATGGTCAGATTCTTATGAAAAGAGCTTCCAGGAGTTGAAATGAAGATTGACTACGGCACCGGTGTTGACCCTACCAGAGGGAACAGATGGGTTTGTGATATATTGCGATGCTTCAAGGATCGGACATGGTTGTGTATTGATGAATCATGGCAAGGTGATCGCTTATGCTTTTAGGCAACTCAAGAGTCTTGATAAGAACTATCTAACACATGACTTAGAGCTCGCGGTAGTGCTTTTGCATTGAAGATTTTGCGTCATTATTTGTATGGAGTCCATGCGGATATAATCAAGGACCATAAAAGCCTTCAATATATTTTCAAACTAAAGGAATTGAATCTGAGGCAGAGAATATGGCTTGAGTTACTCAAAGACTACGACATTGATATTCTCTATCATCCGAGAAAGGCTAATATTGTGGCGGATGCTCTTAGCCAAAAATCTATGGGTAGGTTGGCTCACTTGGAGGAATATCAAAGGTCGTTGGCCAAGGAAGTTCATCGGTTAGCTAGTTTGGGAGTTCTTTTTACGGACTCTATTAAATGAGGGGTAATTATACAAAATAGGACTGAATCATCGCTTGTTGGGGAAGTAAAGGAGAAGCAGTATGACGATGCACTATTGGTACAATTGAAGTAGGGGATTCATAAAAATGAGACCATGGCTTTTTCTCTTAGCATGGATGATGGTACGCTAAGGTACCAATTGCGATTATGTGTTCCTAATGTAGATGGTCTTCGGGAAAGAATCACGAATCGAGGCTCACACTTCTAGGTATTCCGTGTACCCAGGCTCTACAATGAGGTTTCATAATGTTAAGGAAGTTTACTGGTTGAATGATATGAAGAGGAATGTAGCGGACATTGTGGCATGATGCCCAAATTTTGAGGAAGTGAAGGCCAAACACAAAAGGCCCGGTGGGTTGGCACAGAACATCGAGATTCCAATGTGGAACTGGGAGATCATCAATATGGACTTTGTGGTAGGACTACCTCACACGTCTCGCAAGTTCTACTCGATTAGGGTGATTGTGGATCGACTCATGAAACCAGCGCACTTCTTACTTGTTAAGGCTACCGACACAGCAGAAAAATAACCTCAGTTTTATATTAAGGAAATAGTCAGGTTGCATGGCGCTCCAATTTCTATTATCTCATATTGAGGGGCATAGTTCATAGCTAAGTTTTTGAAGAAATTTCAGCAAGGTTTGGTTACTCAGGTGAATCTTAGTATAGCTTTCCTGCCACAGACTTACGAGTAAGAAGAGGAGACCATTCAGACGACGCTTGGGGATATGTTGCACCCTTGTGTTATTGAATTCAAGGATAGCTAGGATGATCATTTGCCACTCATAGAATTTGCCTACAATAACGTTTATCATGCTAGCATTCAGATGGCGTCGTTCGAGGCTCTATATGGTATGAAACGTGGATCTCCCATTGGGTGGTTTGATATTGGGGAAGAAGAGTTGATAGGGCATGACCTCGTGCATCAAGCTATGGTGAAGGTTAAGATCATTATGGAATGGTTAAAAACTACCAGAGTCATCAAAAGTCCTATTCAGATGTACGCACGATGTAGGTATTTAGAGTTCGAAGAGGACGATTGGGTATTCTTGAAGGTTCCCCCTATGAAGGGCACTATGCGATTTGGTAAGAATTGAAAATTGAGTCCGAGGTATGTCAGACCGTACAGAGTCATTCATAGGATTGGTCGGGTGGCTTACAGGCTTGAGCTACCTCCAGAGATGCCCTTAGTGCACCTAGTGTTTCATGTGTCTACTATGTTGAAGAAGGTAGTTGGAGACATGGCACTCATTGTTCCGGTTGAGACTATAGCGGTTAATGAGGAATTAATGTATGAAGAGATTCCAGTTGCCATTATTGATAGGCAAGTACAAAAGCTGAGAAATAAAGAAATTGCCTCCATGAAAGTGCCATGGCCAAACCAACAGGTGGAAGAGGCCACTTGGGAGGCCGAGGAAGAGGGGGAAAGGAAATACTCTCATTTGTTAGAATAAGTATGTATTTAGGTAGTTGTGTTCTATGATAATGTTAAGAGTATACCTTCTATGAATTATGTTTCACGGGTACAATTTATGATAAGGATGTTTCTTTTGGTAATATAATGGTTATGGCATCGTGGTTGGTGTTGTTTTCATGATATGTTACATTGTTGGATTACGTACACGTTGCTAGGATTGGTTTCTGGGATTCTCTTACATGTGGATAACTCCACTTATAGGGGAACTCTGCCGAAGCTTCTGGAAATTTAGAGAGTTAGTCAAAATTTAGAACTGCTGGTGTGTGAAGTGATAGTTGAGTCACATTGGATGCTAATAGCGGATTTGATTCTCATTCTAGGATAATTGATCGTTTTGCGGGCCGTACATCTATCGCAGAACCGGTATGAAGATTTTCGGAGGGTGATTTTGCGGTCCGTAATGCAGCCGCATAACTGATATGCAGGCTACAGACCTCGCTGCAGACTGGACCAGGCCAGCCAGTTTTTGGGACCGTTTCTGCGGTCCATTTAGCGGGACGATGACTCATCTGCAGTGCACTCTGCGACCACGAAGTTGAGTTCGGAGGTTCCATTTTCCTATTTTATAACCCGACCCCATTTTGAGTAAAAGCCATTAGGGCTCGTTTAGAAGGGAAAAATCTGGTATTTAGAGAGAAGGGAATGGAGCTAGAGAGAGGAGGAAGGGAACCCAACATCTCCATACATTGAATCCTTACCCCAATCTTGAAATTCAACAAGGAAGAGCTCACAAGGTCTGCACATAGGAGGTAATATTCTACTTCATAGCCCTCAATTTCGGGATTGGATTGAAAGTAGGTAATGGGAAGAGTAATCTTTGGGTGTAGAAGTTGTTCCTTTTGCATGCATGTACCACCTGTGGGGAGATTGTTGAACTCATTTGTGTGAACATTGGATTGTAGGATGAAGGAATCCAACATACAACAACCTTGAATTCATGTTGCACACCTAGTGCTTGATAGAATGATTAAATGAGCTGAACCCATGAACCTCTTCCTAATTATGGTTCAAATTTGACATGTCTCTAGAAGATTTAAACAGTTGAATTCCATGATGTCCTCGTAAGTTGTGATTATTGTTGGCTCAATCTCTTATTTCTCATGTTCTGAGTCCTTCCTAATATATTTGATCATTCTCTAATAAGTGTTGTGATGAAAGACGCATGTACTCAAAATATGTTCCAAATGTTACCATCATATCATGATTCCCCTCCGAGAATGTAATCTAGTATGACCAATGTATTAAAGGTGTTGTAATTTAAAAATCATGTTTCAATTGCAAGTTAGTATGCCGAGTTGCGGAGGAGAAACTCATTGTGATTATGACTCTTATTGCTCATATATAAGCCTAAAGTCGTGATTAGAAATTTCCTTTCTATGATGATGCTTGAAAGTTATAGGGGTGAGTATGAAAAATGAAATACGACTGACGTGCCGAGAACGATATTACAATTGCGGCCACTAGTGCCAAAGAAATGGAAAGATGCGTGAAATATTATGAAATGACCTAACCTCGAAACTACATGTGCCAGTGTAGGAATGATTGAGGGGAAAATTCTCGTGTTGATGTGATGAGATTGTTTTTTGTTATATGGGATGAGATTGATGTGTTGAGACATTTCTCCGTAAATGGGATGTGATGATTGCTAGCGGGATGTGATGTGATGCCGACCCACATGGCATTGTGGTGAGATGGGTTAGCTGATCGGGCTGAGATCAGACGCCATGCCGCACAAATGGTGCTGTTGTGATTGAATGTCTCGGGGTGAGATGGTTTAGTCGATCGGGCTGAGATCGGACACCATGATAAAAGCATGGTGGTGTATCGGTACGAAAGATCTCCCATCTTAAACATATTGAAAGTTACTTGAAACTTACTTTTCTCTTAACTTGACACTTTAATATTGTTTGAGGTTCCCATTGATTCCATGTTTCCTTCTCATTTTACTGTTAATCATTTTATTGAGAGGGTATTTAGTTTTACATATTAGTACCATTCCATATGTACTAACGTGCCCTTTGCCTGGGGCGCTGCATCTTTCATTGATGCAGGTGGTTCCACAGCACGCGGCATTGATTAGTGATAGGAGTACACCCTCTCCTCAGCTGACTTGGTGAGCCCCACTTCATTTTGGGGTCTTGTATCTTTTGCCCTCTATGTATAGTATTGTGGAGGTATAGCTGGAGCCTTATTACTGGCACTATCATACTACTTTGTTGTATCCATTAGAGACTATGTAGAGATAGCATGGTTTGTATCTTTATTTGGGAAAGTTAATTTAAAGGTGTTCTATTTGCACACATGTTCCACTTCAAACTATGCAAGTGTATGTATTTTGAGACTTATAAATGACGTAACTAATGGTAAGGAACTGGTTTTGTTCACATGACCTCTCATTGTCTAATTAATGAAACATATCTTGTCTTTGTTCACGGGTGAGTTTGGGCAGAAGGCATTGTATAGGCTTGCTTGACTGGTGTATCTCGGTTGAGCGCCGGTTGCGCTCCCCGAGGTCAGGGCGTGACAATTATTACTTTTGTAATACATTAGCAGGCTCAACAACTAGTACTTGACGCACGTCATGATTCTAAGGAGCTTCAACTAAATGTAACTATAAGCGAAATGCACAATTAAAGGACTTGACTATGATTTATAGTAGAATTAGATCCCAACGGTCAGTCAGACAATACTAATTAGAATAGTTAGTCATATAGCAAATATGCAAATAAGCAAAGCAGAAAGGAATGTTTGCAGAGCCTCTGTTCAGTTCCCAGAAGATTTTCTCTTCTATGTTTATGTCTAAACAATGTGAAAATTGAAGAACGAGGATGTGCAGTCTCTATGCAGCAACGACGTCATTGAGTTTCAAAATGGAATTCTTTGGCTCTCGTATTCACGCAAAACGGGAGAGAGTCATAAAATTAGAAAAAGAAGAGAGTAATCTTTAATAAGCATGGAAGTTAATAATCGAAATTAAGAAACCATGAGAAGTAAATTAGCACATTCCAGTTAACCCCATAAAAGACAAAACTCTTACTGACATAAACAGATTCCCTAGTAATGTTTTCTATTAGAGATGAATCTCTACACTCCTTTAAGAACGGTCATAAAGTGTACTTTATATGGCTTTAATCAAACACGATACAATACGTTCACAGTCAAAGGCATGTTTTACACCCTTTTAATAAAAAGTCATTTTAGATTAGCAAAGATGCACTTAAACTGACATGACCCAAAATCCCACCTTAAGGATCGTGATGGCACTATTTACTCTAATATCGGGTAACAATTAAATTTGTATGCGGGTTTAAGTATATGTGGTTTGATCCAACACGAACAACTAAGAATATCAAAAAAATAATTTAAAAATGAAATAGACATTCAAACCAGTTGCAATATTATGACCAAGCCTGAATTTACACTGACTAGTGACCTCGTCTTCGGTTGGACCCTCGATTCAAGCCCGGTCGTGAGTAAAGGACATAACAAATGAGCAAAGCTTTAACAATAGCTAAAACACAGAAAAATAAACTTGTGTTGCTTTGATTTGTGTGATACAATATATGTTACAACAAAAAAACTTCCCCGCTATATAGTAGGATAGTTTTAACCTTAGTATAAGTCTAAAAAGGTAAAACTCTTCAGTTCCCGGTAATTGCTGATCCATAATCGACATCGAGCGAGATACGCGCCATGATATCCGATTGAGTGCGAGTATCACAGCGCTCTATCCGTCATGTGTAACCCTTCACCATGTCTCCCGAGATCTTAGAACTCACTCTTGGCCCAGAGCGCGTCGCTTTACCATATATGATGATGGGCACTGTCACATCCCATATTTTCGTACGTAAGAGTATGTCGTAAGTCAATTGAGGTAAGCTCATAAATGAGATCATCTTTGAGAGAACATATATTAAGTTAATCATGTTACCTTGGATATTAAATATCTTTAAGATAGTGGATAACAAGTACCAAGAGGGTTGAAAGGCAAAGAAGCTAAACAAATTGAAGAAAATTAGTTTCGTCGAATGTCGACAAGTTGAGAATGTTATAACGTGTACTTTTGAGATGACAATAGGATTCTTAACAAGATAAGGAGGTTATATTATGAGTTATTTTATTCGTATGATAGTTGTTTGTTATATTTTTAAGTCAAGCAATGTCACGACCCAATTTCCCCTGCGTTAGGTTTCGTGATGGCACCTGTCTTAAGGACTAGGTAAGCCTAACAATTACGGAATAACAACAATAAATAATAACATCTAAAATTTCTTCTCGAATGAATCCCTTATACAATGACCATATTCCCAAAATCCGGTAGTACAAGTCATAAGCTCTACAGAGTTTCGCTACAACTTCTAAACACATTCGTATGGAAATAAGTACAATATTGTAAATATAAAATAGGAAGGTGACTCCGAAGCCTGCGAACGCATCAGCAGGGCTACCTTGAGTATCCCTGACAAGAATCCGCACAGCTACTAGCGAACAATACCTGGATCTGCACAAAAATTATGGATAGATTGTTAGCGGTAGATGACATTTCCGAAGGATATTGTAAACGTGATAGTAGTTCTCCTTGGGAGACACCCAAATGGTGCACTCTAGAATAGTATAGTTATATATGAATACTAGAAGGTTCAGAAAAATTGAGAAGGTAGGCACTGGCATCCTAGAAAGGATAAATATTTAATTTAGTATGACTAATGTCCCTAGTAAAGAGAGAACATTAGGCAACCCGAAGAGCTAGTGAGATGCATCAAGGGGAACTAAAGTGAAAGAATGTTTCGTTTAAGTTTTAAGAATAATGTAATAGGAAGTTATATTAGCAGGAGAATAAGAAGTGAGCAAATGAAGAATTATGAGTAAGATGTGATAAATGGACTATAATGGTGAATCAAAATATGACTAGATGACAAAGTCTATAATCAAGTGACCGAAAAGACTAGAGGAGATAGGCCTTGATACTGTAAAAGA